CTGCGTAGTTTCCTTGTACCATTGTACCATTGCGAAATTTGCACAATGTTCGCTTTTTATTGAAAGGTATGGGGAGATTAAAAAACACGAGCTTTTTGGTAAGCATGAATGGGCGATCGAACATCGACTGCCTGATGTGATACAGTTGTCTCAGATTTATAACAGCTTCACTGTATTGCATATGTTGGATCAGAATACACGCCTCAATGGGAGCTGAGTAGTGTGCCTAAAAGTGCTCCACCCAGCGCGCAAGACGTCGCTGTTGATTACGAATGGATGAACCATCCGCTTTGCAGATCGTTTCGCTCATATTCCTACCGGTGACCCGAATGAACAACTTACAGTAGTTTCCCATAGCGGCAGCACGTTCCATCTCTGACGCGCGTTGAGCCCAACTGATTTCGCAGTCTCTGCGTATTTTTGAGTTGAGGCTAAGACGCACTGCGTCGTATTTCATTATGCGCACTGTCGGTCGGGATAGATCGGCGTGCGTCGAGACTCCGCAGAAATCCAGGGTGTCGCGGCGAGACATGTTAGACCTAACTAAGCCGAAAGGACGCAGAGCATTCTTCATAAGCGACCAGTGCTGATTGATGTTGGGGTTGGTTCTAGCCCTTCAGCTAACGCGTTCTGAAATACAGTTAGGCGTGCTATTTCATACAACTTATCACAGTCTAACAGTCGTTGTGTCGTGCATTGGGAACGCCCACCGAAGCACATGGACAGCTTACTGCAAAATTACGCGTGGTCGGATTCGAGGGAAGTGCTCCAGTACGATTGGTAGTCTTGTATGCAACCCCTCCATTTGTGGCTTATAGCGATGTGGTCGATCTGTGTCCGTCTCTGACTCGAGGAGGGCGGACGCCAAGTGGCGTACTGGCAGTTTGAACGCCTGAAGTTCGTACTGGCAAGGAATAGGCAGTAGTCGGAACAAAGNTTCCCCGTTTTCCGAGCGATAGGAATCTAGTCCGAATTGGACCCCCTAAATGCGCCTCACTCTAAGTCAGTAGACCTACAAGCATTCATATCTCCAGCTAAAATCACAATATCACCCCGACTTACTTTACGCAAGCGGTCGTGTAGATTGAGTGCATCTGGGCTGCAGTCCGTTGGGGAGTGCGCCAACAAAACAAACAGGTTTCGTCTATCGGGGTGACGGCTGTTTACTTTGCACGAACCTCTACGTCTCACTGCGCACAACCTACTGTCGATTGGGATCCAGTTCAAGAGCGCGGCTTCAGCTTGAATGTGGGTGCACAATATCAGGTCAATGTAATTTCCTTTTTCAGGTTGGCGCTCCAAACTAAGAGATATTTTTCGTCAAAATGAGAACTGGCGATAAACGAGGCCCTATGAACGTGTACAAGAATTGATTGAACAGTGGATCAAATGTTTTAGCACCTGCACTCGACTTCAGTGAGGAGAAACAATCGACAGGATGCTGTTGTGTACTACAAACGTGGGAACAAAACAAAAAAAGCAGCCGATGAAGTGTTCTCTCGTTCTGCTTGAGCAGCAAGCGCGCTCAGTTTGTTTCGTTGTATCGTACTTAAATTGAATTGATGAACTTTTTGCTAGCAGATGCTGGTTATGGTAGAAGTCTGAATGGTGGAAACATCGATAAAATAGAGTGTAGCGACAAGTAACAAGAGGAAAAATATCTGGCGGGTGACAGATACCACAAACAGTAAACTAAAAGACTGCAATTTGAGTTTCAGTTTGCACAATCATTTGCCATGCACTATCGTGCGCCGGTTTTCGTTGCTATGTTCGGCTGCCCATTTGGATGAACATAAGGAGAAAGACAGGAAAGGTTGAAGTAGGATCGAAGACAAGAGTGAAATGTTCAGTGGATTAATGATACAGAGAAACTGAGAGGATGCACGAACGCCACTGTTTGCGACACCCAGCCATATCACTCAGTGTCTCTAACCATCGGTACAATCATTCCGAGGTCCCCAGCCAAGTAGCATAACGGGACCTATGTGACCAGACTCTTGATCAGAAATTTCATAACCTCGTGCCAGGTCTAAGCTTGGCCCCCTTGACTTTCTTCCATCCACTACCTGTCTCGCCAAGCATCGCTCGCCGTGGCAACCTATCTGCTGACATGCGTAGC